GGCTGACTACAGGAAGCCCGAGGCAGAGTTGCTCTGCCCCGGGCTTCCTGGAATCAGCCGCTGATCAGTTTCAGCAGCAGCTGACTTGGGGACGCCTGGGTTTCTTAAGTTGAATCTGTATGTAAGTCAGAACTGGCATCCAGATTCAGCCGCGGTTGAAACTAATCAGTTTCAGCAGCGGGCTGACGCCAGTTCCGACTTACATACAGATTCAACTTAAGAACAAACCTACAGTCCCTGTCTTGTACGTAACCCGGGGACTGCCTGTACTCCTAAAGTGGATGGCAGATCCCAGCTTCTCTGATGCCCACTTTGAAAAGGGCGGAGAAGAAATATTATGTGCCAGGCAGTGAGCATTCGTATGTGTGTACTCACTCCCTTCTGGATCCCTTGTTGTATCAGCGGCTAAGGAAAGGGATAAGCAAGGCTGATGGAACTTGACCCTCAAACAGAAGGATTCAAATAAATTTGTCCTGTTAAGGAGGAAACAGGTGGTTTCCAACTTCATATGTCAAATAATGCGTCTTATTGGGGAGATACGAGTACAATTTGTGGGACTCCATGTCAAATAATGCGTCTTATTGGGGAGATACAAGTACAATTTGTGGGACTCCTTGGCCAAATTTCAGGATTCTAGGCAGGAGTTCTTAGGTCTCGTACGAGGGGAATAATGATACCAGAGCCTCTCTCCAGGTGGCATTAGATTCAACAGACATTGCGGCGAGGGACACTGGCTTCTGCTGTAACCATGAGGTGATGCTTTTGGCTTCAGTCTTGGGGACTGCCTCACAAGGTCTAGCAATCAATCCAGGATCTTCCTCTTCCAAGTCTCCTTGCTATTTTAGGAGCAGAAGGAAGAACTCGAGGGCACCACTCAGGTCCTTGGGCACCACTCAGGTCCTCAATGCTTTATTTGCTTCTAAGAAGAATTATGGCCACCACCACCAGCACGGCTCTCAGCTCCGCCTCTGAGACAGGAAACCTATAAAAGAAAAGGGAGAGGTTACTTGCAGTGTCATCAACTTCTGTCCACCTCAACCTCCCAGTTGATGTCCGATAGGTACCCTGGTGAATCCAGCAGGCCTTTTGAAGGTGTGCCCACAGGCACTATATCAGTTTCTGTCCCATTTATTTTTGGACTGACTGTCACACTTCTGCCCGATATGGCCCTGTATAATAACACTGGCTCACTGCGTGCAGGTACAGTACCAATCAGTTGTGTCCTAGAGTTTTAGGCATTGCCTGTGCCCTCGGAGAACTTCCACCCTGGCTGGAGCAGCCCCTGCCCACGGTTGGCCGAGGTGCTAGGAAGGAAGGGGGCACTCCAGCATGGCCACAGTAGCACCCGCCCACTCCACATTCAACTGGTTTACCAATTAAACAAGATTTTACATCCCTAGTGCAAGTGTGACCAAAGATAGGAAGGCAAGGTAGATGGAAGATAAGGCTAATAGTGATAAGACCACACTGTTACATAGGCTTGCTGCAAAGAGAAAGCAACAGAGAATTCCAAAAGGGATGTTTTATTCTTTGATTGGTTCTTCAGTTGTTGTTTTAGTGGGTGGAGATGGCTCCAGATCCAAGTAAACATCCTCCAAGGTTCTCATCACACTACATGGAACTGAGCAATGTAGCTGTAGTATTTTAAAATACTACTGGCCACATGTTCTTTGGTATTCTAAACTGGGATCGGTTTAGTATTTTCAATACAAATAGACTTCTGGCTAACAATTATTTCCTTCTCCACAGCCGTATTGAGCACTTAAAATCCCAGAATGACTTGTTGACAATAACGCTGGAAGAGTGCAAGAGCAATGCCGAGAGGATGAGCATGCTGGTTGGAAAATATGAATCCAATGCCACTGCACTCAGACTTGCACTGCAGTACAGGTATATAAATACTTGCAGCCTGGGAATTTCAGCCTGGAAAGTGAGGGGACATGACATGCTACAAAAGTTTAGGAGATAAAGCTGCTGTTCTGCAGTTGTAAACCTGCTTCTGTTCCATTATGGTGTAAGTAATGATGCACTGGTTAGATAACTTCCATGAAGCAGTTACGTTTGTTTATAGTCCGGTATGTAGCTCAAATATATGCAGAGGTGTTTCATCAAGAATGTGTTTAACCCAGCCACACTAAAGAGTTTTTTCCTCTTCCTTTTGTTAATACAGCATGCAGGTTAGAATTAGTGAAGATTGTAGTTTTTCTCCCTCTTTCTTATATGTACATGAAAAAAGAAAAAAGTGATGTTAATGTGATAGGTGTTGCTGGGAATATTTTTCTATTTTTTTTTATTTTCTTTAGTTAGACTAAATTAATGTAAAGTCTGTGCCTTGCCCTAGTTGAAGTGCATTGGGTGCTTGCAGTCTAGTGTCCTCATCGCATAGGTAGCCATGATCATTCGATGTCCCAACAAGAAATTAAAGATTCAGTAGATAAAATTACTGAACTCCCCTCTTACACACTTGCAGTTATCCCCCAGGTAAAGTCTGGGGGATATTGGCTCAATGCTGCTCCAGAGTTGTCTGTGATTTAGCTGTCCAGTGGATAAATAGGAGACTTCAGTTTCTCTTACTGTCAGTCTGGCATCGTTCACAAGCGTGGTTGTATAAAGAAAGAATTCACAACTCCCATTGGCTTGTGTGATTTAAGTTGAGCTCCATAGGAACAGTGAGGTACAGTTCTCAGGATTTGGTCCCAGATAACTATATTTACTTTAAAATATTTGTAAAAAATGTCTCCAGAGGGCCACGCGCATGTGTCAAGAACTAGGACCTGGAGGGAGGCATGATGCTGCATGTGCTGCCTATTATTCACACAGGCAGCCCCCATTGGCTGGTTTCCCCCCCCTTGCCTCCAAGCTCACGAGTTTTAAAAAGAAACGGCGCCGCAGCTGCTTTTCTGAGCAGTGTGCAGGTGGCAGCTGTGCAGGCAGGGAGCCTGCCTTGGGCTGCCTGCCACATTCACGGGCTGGATCTGGTAGTACGGTGGGCTGGATCCGGTAATACGGTGGGCTGGATCCGGTAATACGGTGGGCCGGGCTGTATTTTGCCCAGGCCTTACTTAGCTAGTCAGTGAACCAGAGAAGGAGAGAGTGACTCTGTAGCTTGGCATATTCTTGTGGGAATGAAAAGACCCCAGGTTCAAGTGGAAAACATTTCATTTGACCCAAAACAGGCTTTTTATCAATTTATTCTATTCTCCGAATATTTCCAAAACGTTCAGATCTGTCCTGACTAGAACCAGGTTTTTTTTCTGATTTTTAGAACTGCCATCAAATTTTTAAAAAATCAATTACTGGCAGAGCTATAGTCCTGTAATGTCCCTGTTATCTTACAAGTAGAAGGGAATAATCTAGTTCTTCAACTGCCACTTGTCCAGTGTTGATTGCTGATATTGATTCTGCTGTCTAAGTTGCAAATATTGTGTGTGTGTGTATTTTTATTTCAGTGAACAGTGCATAGAAGCATATGAGCTGTTGCTGGCTTTGGCAGAAAGTGAACAGAATCTCATTCTTGGTCAATTCAGAGCTGCAGGCGTTGGGTCTGTTGGTAAGATCTCAATGAGTCGCTCTCTCAATCCCATTCGGCATTTTAGTTAACATTAATCTAGTTGCAACAATGAATCATCTCCTGACTGCATGCTCCCCACCAGTCACGTATTTGCTTATTTTTATGTTTTTAATTGAATAAATAAAATGTTTGACACACACATTAGGACCGGAACTGAAACAAAATATTACAAGCAAGTTTAAAAAAAAAAAGTATGGTATTACAAGAGATGCATCTTCTGGGCTTGCGGGGTTACTTTTAATGGGCAATAACTATATACCAGGCACAGTGATTAAACTGATACCTCTGAGCATGCACTTCACATACTACATGCAGTGATTTGGGTTACATAATTTGCGCTTGGCATTACCACAGTTGTGCACATAGCCACAGTATTTGCCCACAAAATTAGTATGTTACCAAATAAATAAATAAATTAAATAAATAAAATCTGGTCTTAAATCAGTGCACTCGGCTATACCATAATGCTGATAAAATACCACATGCAGTCTTTACCTCCAATCTCCCATAATACTCTGTGTTTTAATATCTTAATTCTCATTTTTTACTGACTGGGCTCAGCCTCTGTTTTCTTTCTTCCATTTCATTTTGATACTCAGGAGCAACCACTGACACTAGTTAAAACTGCTTTTGAAAATGTTCTTTGGGGCATAGTGCTATCTTAATGACAGTGTGAGCCTGTTTATTGATCCATTTTCAGCATGGTACATGTGAGTTCCATGCACACAAAGGTCATATTTATTTCCAGAAGATATGTGTTTACACTGTGAAACTAATTCTTAGTTTTACAGAGACTCCGTTTTCTTACTGATGGGAAAAGGTGGTAGTAAGAATCTTGGATCTTGCTGGGGATGGGGGAAGGGATATGAAATTTTCAGACAGAAAAATAGCTTTCCATTCTGTGCTGAGACCTAGACACTGCCTTGATGGTAATTTATAGTGCTGGGTTCTTGAGAATCACTGAAATGTAAACTGAGAGCTTTTAAGGACTAAATGACCAGCTGGTTTCAAAGCCACAAGATAAATGAGTTCAAACTCTTGCATCTGCAGGCTAGACACAGGGATCCACAGTTACTGTGCTGTTTCCAGGCAGTTTACTTTGCATCTCTCCTAGTGGTTTGGGCAAGCCTTTGTGTAGGTGAGTTTCTCTTTGCAGTGTGTGTCATGCAGGAAAGGCCATAGCAAATTTTTTTTTAGTGTTTCCCCCCCCCCCCCCCCTTTTTCTCTAGAGTCTAGCTCTTCCTTTTAGCAGTCTGGTATTGAATTTGTACTGCTGTTCCTTTATGAAAGGATATTAGGGTATTAGATCTTAGATTTTGCTTAGATAGCTGGTCAAGAAGTAAATCCAAAAGGATAGTGTTAGTTTTCCTCTCCATGTTCAGGTTATAAAAGAGAGGGTGTAACTGACGATAGCTATCTGTTGCCAACTTTGTTTTTAATGTGGCATTACCATTCACACCTTTGCTTTTGTTCAGGAGGTTATAGCTTGTCTGTGAAACTTTACTTCACTATGAAATTTAGTCAGTCTTGGCCTGACAAAAGTTATTGTTTTGCATTAGTTTAAAAATTAGTTTAGTTATATTTAAAGTTATACACAGAACAACCCCTCTCCCCAGCCCTGGGACCATCTTCTCATATTGGGAAAAAAATGTACATTTTCCAAATTCACACAAATTCCAGGATACATCTTTATTAAAGATTTGTATAGCACCACAAATCTGGTTGTGATGTTCTGTTAATTAAAATAGGATTTGGCACCAAATGTGTTAATGCCCTTACTCGGTCCTTTTCACGTAAAACTGACATAGGCTTCAGTGGGAAATTTGCCTGAGAACTGACCAAAAAAAGTCTGAATAAGCACCTCAGGAGTTGGCTTCTGAATAAAAATGTAGACTAAGATACTGAAGCCATATTTACTAAGTCTTGGATTTACTCTACATCCTGGTATTTGAGAGAATAACTGTGACAGTCTCTGGTGTCGCCCGAAAACCCAGAAAAGGGATGAAGGGGTTGGGATAATATGTTGTTGTTTAAATTTGTTGCGTGGTTGTTTTATTGGGTGTGTGTATAGTGTTAAAGGTTCGATAGCTGTGGAGAAAAGCCAGGAAGTATAGCATGAAATCTTTCATTATTCCTCCTGCAGCTTCCATGACCAACAGTTTGGTTAAAAGAGGGATGTTGCGCAATTCCCCACATTGAATTTTCTGGCATTTTCTTTTTTTTGTTTCTTTTGATATTACATTAGCACCCAAAGCCCAACTCAGAGGCTATGTCTAAACTACATCCCTTTCTCGAAAAAGGGATGTAAATTAGACTCTTCGAAATTGCAATAGAAGCCAGGATTTAAATTTCCCGTGCTTCATTTGCATAATTGCGGCTGCATTTTTTCCCCCGAAAGGGGGCTTTTTGAAAGGAAAACAGCTATTTAGACGGGGATGTAATTTAGAGACTGCCAGACTGTGGGTGTGCAATGCTTGGCTTAAATGAGGATAAAGCACAGTCTTGCACAGAGCAAACTGTCTCTTACTTGTCCTGTCTGATGGTAGCATTGTATGTTTACCTCTAGTACAAACCACATGAATACATGTCATCCTTGTGCTCTTTTTCACTGTATGAGTCTCACTTAAGTCACAAATTTGCTGGCTAGGTGTTAATGTCACAGCAAAAGTGAATATATCTTTGAGTCTGTTTTCTTGTGTTAATTTTTATTATGCTCTTTGATGCTCTGACACTGATTGTTTGCTTCAAACTAGGGGACCAAATAGGTGATGAGAACATTACCCAGATGCTCAAGAGAGCCCATGACTGCAGGAAGACTGCTGAGAATGCAGCAAAAGCCCTGCTGATGAAATTAGACGGCAGCTGCGGGGGAGCCTATGCAATCACTGGCTGTAACGTACAGCCCTGGGAGAGCCTGTCATCCAACAGCCACACCAGGTAACTGCAACTCATCGAACCTATTAATCCCCAGGCCTTTGGTTGCAGACCTAAGTAGATTGTTGTTTTCCATTTATTCAGCTATCCATCCTCACGTCAGTCTGCTATGTTCTTTTTGTTTCTATTTTTTAAATCACTACTACCATGCTTCAGTGAGCTTATTCTCAGACATTGAGCAAGCTCCATCCAAGAAGGGTTTTGTATAGATTTGTTGCAAGCGGGTGATTCTGAACTTTGATCTCTCTCATAAAAGGCAAAACCATAACATTTATTTTACTTCAGCAATTCTGTTTCTAACCCCTTTCCCCTCCTTTCTGTCTCATTGAAACTTGAAGTATGTACTTCTTTTTCACCTCTATTATATGAATATATCACAGATTTCCAGGGAACTGGAAACCAAAAAAATACTCCCATCAAGGTGTTCCTAAGCATTTAGAGCATTTCAACTATTGTTGGTTTTAAATGTCACAGCTATAACCATTTCACTTCTTACAAAAACAGAGTAAGAAGCAAAGAATTATTTTGCCACCAGTTATGATTTTTCATAACAACCCTGCTATCCCAAAAACTTCCCTTTAGCATTTGACACTCTAGACAAATATTGACTAGTGGACACATTTTTTGCAGGTTGTAGGGGATTTTTCCAGAAGGAAAAAATCAGGATATTGGACTTTCTTAGACCTTAGAAATAATAAAACTTAAATGGAAAAAAAATCTAGAAAAAACGTAAACAATGAATAGTCTAGCACAGGGATAAGCAATAATTTTTGATGGGGGCAGCTACTCTAAAAATTTGGGAAGTGGTTGAGGGCTGCACTCTTCCATATTAATGGAGGGGGTTTGGGGTCTGGAATGGAGCTTGGGTGTAGAAGGGAGCTTGGGGTAAGGGAGGGAGTTTGGGTGAAGGAGGCAGCTGTGACCTGGGGCACTGGACTGGGGTGTAGGGGGTTGGATTGTGACCTAGGTCAGGGATTTGGGTTGTGAACAAAGGCATGAAGGGACTGTGATCTGGGGCAGGGAGTTTGAGGTGCCAGATCTGGAAGGGGATATGGGTACAGGAGAAGGGCAGAGGATTTCGGTATGTGGAGTAGGGGGCAGGAGTTGGGGGCAGAAGGTTGGGGAAGGGAGAGACTGGGGTGCCAGAGGTAGGCTCTGCCAGGAAACTTACCAACCAGCAGTGGTTCCTGAATCAGCCTCCCACACAGAAACCAGCCAATGGGATTGTACTGGGGTCAGGAGCAGCTCCTAAAGCTTCCCCGCCCCTCTGGACTTAGACTTTTTAAAGAAAAACTGCCCCACAGCTGCATTTCTGAGTGGTGTGCAGGTGGGGCAAGGCAAGCAGGGAGCTGGCCTGGGGCTCCCCGCAGGGTCCGGGGGCTGGATCTGGTGGCTTGGTAAGCCACATCCGGCCCGTAGGCTGCATTTTTCCTAGGCCTGATCTAGCAGCACCTTAAAGACTAACAAAACATGTAGAGATGGTATCATGAGCTTTTGTGGGTACAACCCACTTCTTCAGTTGGAGTATTAAAAATCCAGTTCCAAAATAAATAGGGGATAATGGGGAGGAGAAGGAAGGGAAAAATAGTGAATTAGAGTGTTCATGTTACATGAAGCTGATAGAGAAGGTGCAAATTGTTCTTAAGTATCCCTTGTTTGGTTGGCTGAGTCATTAGGATGTGGAAGGTAGTTGCGCTAGCCACATAATGTCTTCATAGCTTTGTGATGGGTCCCAAAAAGAGCTGACTGGCTGGGTGGGGCTGATTAATCACCTGTGCAGCTACACAGCTTAGAGGTAACACTAATGGGGGGGCTACTCCAAGAAGCTGGAAAGTGGTCAAGGGCCGCACTCTTTCATTTTATTAATGGAGATGTGCATTCTGGGATGGAAATTGGGTGCATGGAAATTGGGTGCAGAAGGGAGCTTGGGGTGAGGGACTGGGGTGCAGGAGGAGGTTTGGGAGCTGGGAGGGAGTTTGGGTGAAGGAGGTGGTTGTGACCTAGGGCAGGGGCCTAGGGTACAAAAGGCAGTGCTGTGGTTTGGGCTGTGATTTTAGGCAGGAGGGGGGTGGGACCTGGAGTAGGGACTGGTGTGCTGGAGGGGTTGCAGGGATTCATGACCTAAGGCAGGTGCAGGGCTTGGGAGGGGGCAGTGCTTTTTTTGTAATGGTACTGCCCAGTATGCAGTACCGGCACTTCCAGATGCAGTACCAGCACCTCCAGTCAGAGCTCAACAACTTTTCCCCTGGAGTACTGGCACCTTTGCTTTTTTTTGTTTAAAAAAAAAAAAAAAACCTGGGGGGGAGTATGGGTGCAGGAGGAGGAGCAGAAGGTTTGGGTTATGTGGGATGGGGGCAGGAGTTGGAGGGGCAGACGATTGGGGCAGAAGGGGGCTGGAGTGTCAAGAGGCAAGCTGTGGCTGGGAGACTTAGCTACTGGCTGGGAGTCACCCAGGTAAGCACGTTTCTCAGACAGGCTGCTTGCACGACTGCCCTTCCCTTGCACAGGCTGCAGGAGCTGTGTGTTTCTGTGAACAGCTACGAGCCTGAGGGGAGGGGTACTTTGCATACTGCCTGTGCTTCAGGCAGGCAGCCAATGGGATTGTGCTGGGAATGGAGATAGCACAAGAAGCCCCTTCTCCTTCTCCTCCTCCTCCTCCCCCGCCCCCGGGCTTGCAGCTGTTGAAAGACAAATGGCCCTGCAACCGCTTTTCTAAGCAGCATGCGGGTGCTGGGCAGGCAGGAAGCCACCTGAAGCTCCCTGCTGTGTCTCCGGGCCGAATCCCAGTGGCTTGGTGGGTCGGATTTTTCCGAACTTTGTTCTATAGTATAACTGTCCCTGCTAGCAGACCCCTCCCTTACCATTCTATGAGAGAAAATCATATTCCAGGCACATCCTGTTGCCCTGGCACAACCATACTCTTACCAAGCTACATACCAAATTTGGTGGTCTTAGATTTTTACCATTCAGGAGGTATTCTTGAACACAGACATGCACACACACACTCAAATATATAGCAGAAGACAGGTGAAAATTTTCTTGATTAATTTACAGTTTCTATCCCTCAGATTCACTTAAAATTATGTACTCAGTTTCTTAAGCAAATTCGTCCTTTGTTTTTATATAGAATTGGTTAGCTATCATTTTTTCCTACAATTCCTATATTGTCGCTGACAAGTCTAAAAAGCAGGAAAAGACTAAGAAATGTGGCCAAATTCTACATCAAATATGAGGATAAATGTAAATGTCTAAAACCAAAACATTTTGATTTAAAAATAACCCACAGTTTCAGAGTTACTCTGAAGAGGAGATGATGTTTGAGTTCATAAATTCATGTAACACCATGTTACTTACTAGCAAATCAATAGCTTTTGATGATGAAAATATTGACTTGCTTAGAAGTGCAATATACAAAACTATTTCAGGTCATTTGACCCTTTCTTTCATAGTCTGGGTGCAAAAATATGTATACATGTGCATTTGTGTGTGTTTGGGTATATGCTAGTATATTTGGCGCACATAGCAACACACCTGTAATTGCTTAAGCATTTATATTCTACACAGTTATTTTTGGTTGTTTATAATCTCAAAGTTTTGTCTTTGAGCAACCAATTAGTCACAGAAGCAGGGAAGGGCTGAAAACAATAGAACTGATTTCCAGGAAAGAAGAGAGGGGTGTTTTTTTTTTTTTTTGGCTACCTTGCTTTGTTGTTGAAAATTTGACAGGGACATTTCCCTAGTTTCATTAGTCTGGTGAAAATCAGATTTCATTTAGTTGAGTGAAAGAGCTGAAAAAAAATCATTCTACAAACATGCACTCTGGGTTTGTGGAGCAAAGCAACTAATGATCTCAGTGTTCCACTGACTGCATGTGTGTGCAAAATTTGCTTTGGTTGGCTAGATGTCTCTGCATGTACACATGCTTAGAATAGAGTGAAATTTCAGATTTAACAGGTAGAAGATTGTAGAATATGATCTGTGAGGGTAAAGGTGCAAGGAGTTTGTATAAATGTCTATCTATACATTTTATGCATATATGTAAATTTGTGTGAGACCTGTTAGCTTGAGTCTGTTCCTCTATCATTAAATGATAAATTCCTTTGATATTGATATCAAATAGTAATATCAGTTCACCTGATAGTGTACTCCTGTTACAGTTGAATGGTTATACACACACACACACACGAGAGTACAACTGATGTTATAGCTGTAATGTCATATACATTCAGTGTTGGGACTGAATCCTTGCAATTTCCTTACAGAGAAAAGTTAACTAAATATTAACTCCTTTTTATAGACTAGAGAGTCTGAGACAAACAGATGTTACTGTCAGTGGCCACCTAAGGGCATATGGCCAGTCAGGTGCAGTCAGAGTCTCAGAATATTTTGATTCCACCAGACCACTCTGCTTTTCCTTATTTAAATCCACATCTATCAAGAGAATACATGCAACATTTGCCCAGTTTAGGGATGTTAAATATTGGTTAATTGAATAGTCGATTAACCTCATGAATTCTTATCGGTTACTTGACTATTCTATAGTCCCTGGGGGTGAGGCTGGCCGCCAGTGCACTTGCCACTCCTCACTGCTGCCTCTGTATTAGAGGCAACAGCACGGGATAGCAGGTGGGAGCTGGCCCACAAGGGGGCGGAGGGCAGTTAAAAAATCAGTTCCCTTCGTGGACCAGTTTCCTGTCATCCCGCTGGTGCCTCTTATACAGAGGCAGCAGTATGGAGTGGCAGCAGCTCCTGTCCACTGTGAGTCGGAACTGAGTTGGGTTGCCTGTCTGCCTGGCTCTTAATGCACTTTAAATGCAGAGTCTCAGCAGGGGTACGTCTTGGACCTGGCACAAGTTAGAACTGAGCCAGGCTGCTGGCCAACCCGCTAAAAAATATACTGACCAGGAGGGCGGGGGAAATGTGTGTAGTCTATTGCATCAACCTATAAGCTTTTTCTTATTGGTTAATCGACTACACTATTACATAGCCCAGTTAAACACAAA